GGTTTACAAATAATAATAATAACAGCAACAACAACAATAGCAATAATGATATAATAATAATAGCAGCTTCCACTTATTCATAGCTACGTTCCAAGCATTTTTCCATCAATTAGTGTATCAACTCTGCAAGTAAGAATTGCCATTATCCTTCTTAGAGAGATGACATAATTCAAACTCAGAAGACTCAAATAACTTACTCATGATTCAAATAACTTACTCATGGTCACACAGATAACATGTGACTGTGTCATATGTTTGAACCCTAGTCGATGTGAGTTTAAAACTATGTGATCATAACCACAATATTACAATCATCAGGAGGATGCAATTGGAGCCCATCTTTATCAGAGCCATCAGAAGGTGATATCCTTCCCCTGGCGGATTTCTAAGATGGAGCAGGGAAGAAGCTAACTGGTTGGAGTAGGAAGCCAGTGATGCCCTGATAAGAAAAGCAGGAGGTAGTCACAGGTGCAGGATCTTGCTCTCCTGCTTGAATGACCAACTGTGTACTCTTTCCTATGTAGGCCCAAGCTACTCTGAGATCTATTTCTGTCTCTTTCAGGAGTTTCTTTGTGACTTAGGTCACATCGCTTTTTTAGGGACTGTGAGCACACACCAAACATATATTCCTCTACATTCTTCAGCCTCACTTGCAGTTATGTTGGCTAATAGAATGGAGCAGGTATGATACATTTGCCTTGTGTGCTAAGGTAGTTAAGCATTTGGGGTGCCTTTCCCACACTATTGTCTCCCTGTCTGCTAGCTCGGTGACATAAGAGTGACAAAAGGCACAAGATGGCAGGACCAAGTTGGAAGTAGCTTGGGTCCTCTAGTTCCTGCATGGAGAGCAGCCACTTGGAGGAGAGCTACCCAGGAGTGCAGCCCAGGATGCGTCCACATGACCTGCATGAAAAATAAACTTTTATTCTATTAGGTCACTGGGGTTGTTTGGTACCAAGTGTATTCTGACTATTGCAGGTTATTTATTAAAAGTGTAATTACTCTTAAGTTTGCATTTTAGGTAAACTCAGGTGTGGCAATCTTTCTCTGTGTATCTGTATGTTCTGTGTGTATAATCCAAAAGGAATGATCCATGAAGGATAAACTAGGGAGGAAAAGAAGTGCTGAGCTGATAGTGATTGGGTAGCCCATGGGGTGTTAGTAGAGAAGTCTCCCACTAACAGGCTGAAAGATCATGAGTATGGTTTGCCCTAGCAAACATGATGATCAGATACCTCCATAATGACAGAAGGTCTGTCTGAGATGACAGGGACAAGGAAAAATATGCTGTTCTGTAATTTTACAGAATACATGATGTCAGGGGCTTATGCCTTGGTCTTTTTCTACCTCAGCTGGGTGGCTGGTCAGTTTTCCAGGCCAGTTATTCTTCTGGGGCCTGGGTGACAGCTAGGAGGCTATAACTATGGTGGCTATGCAAATCTCATGGTACCAAGATGGTAGCTACCAGAATTTCATACTTTTATGTTATAAGAGAAGCAACCACACCAACCAATTTAAGATAATTCTAGGTGTTGGGAGCTGGCAGCGACTCCTGCAACAAAGCCTTCACAGGTTCCTCCCTGAGATCAAAGCCCTTGAATGGATCTCTCCTTTCTGAATTTCTGCCTTCTAAGCTATCTTCCCCTTTCTTCTTGTACCTCTCATCAAAAATGAGCTTAACCACATACATCTTTCCAGCTCACCTTTCAAGATTGAGATGAAGCCAGAAAAGTTTTGTCCAAGTTATCATGAGTTGGGGGCTTTGCATTGCACAGTAAAAGACACAATGAAAGTGCTCCCCTGGTTATATTAGAAGAAATAGTGGGATGCCATATTTTGATCCTAGAAACTTGTTGAAAAATGGCCTTTTAAAGACGAAAGCAAGTATAGTTAGTGGAAAGGAGAGTAGAATAAAGAGTTATTGGGATGTGAAGAAAATAAAAGGCTTTAGAACAACTGAGGGAAAGATGTATCAGAGTGAACAGTGAATAAAATATTAGGGAAATAAAAGGAGTGGAGGTGACCATTAGTAACAGTTAAAGTAGAAAAAAAGATAAGTCATTGAGAATTGAGGAGAAAGATGAAAAAGGATAAAAGGAAATATTACCATCTGAACAAAGAGAGCAGGAAGTCATGGACAGAATAAACATTCCTGTATCCTGCTAAAAGCTGGACACAGAATTGGTTGAATATAAGTCTAGGATATGAGCAGATAGATATACTGGATCTGTCAGGCAAAGAGACAACACTTTCAGATAACTTTATAGAATAGTGAAAAGTGTAGACATCGATTGATTGATTACGCTATGTTTACACCTTCTGAGAGAAAAATTGACAATGATTTGGAAACAAAAGCTCTTAAATATTGCAAAGTTAAAGGAAAAATAGAAAGCACAAATGACATAAGTGAAGCCCAAGATAATGTTAACTAACCTGGTTTCTTTTAACATCTGTTATTACCTAGAATATCATCTTATATTTATATGTCACTAAAATATCCCTAACCATTTCTTAGATCTTGATACCTCAAATGTCTAAGTATTTTAACACTTTAGGTTCTGTTTGATCTTTTTTGGTTTTCATCCTGACACTCATTGGTTTCTTGATTAATTACAGTTTTAGAAATAGAAGGATCTTGTGTTGAACTATAATGAAATACATGAAAGAAACTGAGAATGAGAGAGGAAAGAGAGAGAGGAAGGGAAGGAGGAAGGAAAGGAGGGAGGGAGAGAGAGAAGGAGGAAGGAAGAGAGAGAAGGAGGGAGCAAGAGTAAGAGGAGTGGGGGGAGAGAGGGAAGGAGGGAGGGGGAGAGAGGGAGAGAGGGAGACAAGGAGAGAGAGAGGGAGAGAGAGGGAGAGAGAGAGAGGCACTTAAACTGTTAGTTGCTTAGGGGAAAAATTTGTTCAATATTTTTTAATTTCCTCTTGCAAGTAGAGTAGAGCAATCAATATATTGCTGCTTCTTGAAATCAAGATTTTTCTCAAAGAATATTCAATAGGCATTTTCAAATTTTTGAAAACTTTCTTCTTCATTTAGGCACAATTAACCTTATTCACAGGGTCTATAATCATGTAACCTATGCTCATTGCTTTGAGATGAACTCAAAAGTACCTAACTAGATCTGTTCTCTGTATTTTTTTTACTCTAGTAATATATATGGACCTATGGTTTCGCTGAGAGGGGGTAGTCAGATTTTGCTGATCCAACAATTTACATACAAATTCACATATAAATTTTTTAATATCCTCAATTCTCATATCACTGACTTTTCCTGGATGTGCTATCATTGATAATCAACCCAGTTCCATTTAGCATTTACTTATACAGAACCAACAACCATATCCCACTTAATTACTTAGGGGATTTCACACACACACACACACACACACACACAACTGTGATATTGGAATGTATAGTATGGTCTAGTTTAAATTAAAAAGATCCCCCAAAGTATGATTGTTTCCAGCTTCTCAGCAGTGAATTAAAAGCTGTTTGGTGTAGTGAAGATTACAGAAGCAATCACATTTATGGGCCTGCTTTGCATACGAACGCTATTAATTTCCATAGTCAGGGTGGCTTCACATTTCCACGCATGTTAATATAGATACCATTTGAGATAATCACTTGGAAAAAAAGAGGAGAGAGAGAGAAGGAGGGAGATAGAAAGAGAGATAGAAAGGAAGAGAGAGAGAGAGAGAGAAGTAAGACAGATGAGAGAGCCAGAAAAATGCTCTCATAAACCAAGTTCGGTCTGAAACATATTGATTCTGATTAATAGCAGAATCAAAAGACAAATGAGGGTTCCTGATAGCCTGACCCAGAAGTCACACTCAGGGATCAAATTAATATAGAATCACATATTGGAATTCACTTATTGTGCCAGTCCTGTACCTTGTCATTACAGATTCTAATTATCGAAATGATTTCATTGGTGTTAATTGCATCAAGATGTGGCTGGGCTCCACCTTGGATAGGTCCCTTGATGCTTAACATTGCATCTTCATTATTGTGTTCCTTTCATCTCTTAAAATGTGTTCCAGACTCACAGGACAATCCAATCAAGCAGGCTGTTTCCCCTTCCCCAGCCCCCAACTTTTCTTTAAACATGCCAGCCACATAGTATAAGAATGAAGGAATGGGGCTAGCCTGGAAAGCAAAACTGAGACCATAGGGGCAAATGTACAGTCATCTTCCCTGAAGGGACCTCAGAGCATCTGCTGACTAAATTAAACTACCATTTTCATATTCTTCATTCCCAAATGTAAAGAATGGTACTCAAGAGCCTACAATTAAATTGCTATTTGTCTATCATCAATTTTAAATTCTAAAACTATGCTTGTTATGCACTTAGTAATGTATCCCATGTCCTCATAAAGATAAAACAATATAATATCAGCATTAAAAAACAAAAAGAGATTATAACTACAGGTTTGAGGGGAGCATATTTTAATGAAATTAATTGGAATTTGGGGAGATTTGCATTTAATCCACAGAATAGCTAGTAGAGATTTTGAATTTTTCTGAAAACCATCTTATTAGCCTTAAAAAGAAGAGTTTTGAATTCCTATGCCTAAAAATTCCCAGAAGCCAACACCCTGCTCTCACCATAATTTTGATCTAATGCTTTGTATGACAAACTACAGGAGGACAGCGATCCACAAGAAGGCAATGGCTTTGCTCTCAGGGATCAGCCCAGGAGAAATGGATCTTATTTTCTTTGCACAGAGCAGTCCTCACATTGGGAGCTAGTGGTCCTCGTTTCTGGGAGCAGTCAGGAAATCCTCACCGATGGTAAAATACTAAAAAGAGACACACTCTACTCTATTCACCTCTAAGATGGCAAGGCCCTAATTCAAGGCCTTCCATTCTCAATCAACCCGAATAAGAATAATGATCAGAAAACAGTTTAGGGAATACCACTTCTTGAGACATATTAATTGACATTGGTAAATTGAAATATGAGGATAGACCAAAAGCATTATTAAGTGACATTACTTACGGTTTAGAATCTTCTGGTCCTCAATGAATTCAGCTGGTTGATTGATACGGAATACTTTCTGCTGAAATCCAGGAACGCAGTCCAAATCTTCTGCAGATGTTAGCAGCAGCACCTGAGAAAACCAAAGCCATCAATATTTTAACACTGGCTTGTGTGTTTGCCCTGCTAACTTTTACCAAATCTGTGAGTTTTAGAAATGAGCTGAGGTTTTAATTTCATTTCCCAAATGAAGAGGTAAGTTGTACTTCTCCTGTGGTTGCCAACAATTTTGTTTTGGCAATGAGATTTGGCAAATGTGCAAATGGGAACAGCTGTGGCAGTTTCCATTAACTTTCAGTTAAAGAAATAACTTTGTCAGATTTTTTACACCTGCTAAGAATCTCACTATGGTTTCCATGTGTGAGATTTCATTATAGAAACTGTCAGTTTCATATGATCTCTGAGCTAAAACCAATTTCGCTTTCATAGATGCAAAGGAGCATTATTATCTACGAAGAGAACAATGGAACTACTCCATTAGAAGTTACTTTTAAAAGGCATCTAGGGCCCACTAGACCTTCACAGTCCAATACGGTGGCCATGAGCCACACGTGGCTACTGAGCCCTTAAAAAGCAGTTGGGCTGAAACTGTCAGTATAAAATATATGTTGGGTTTTGAAGACTAAATACGAAAAAATTTAAAAAAAAGCTAATAATTTGTATATGGATTACACATTAAAATGCTAATACTTTACAGATTAGACTACATTGATAGGTTATTAAAAGTAATTTCACCACTCTCTTTTTATTTTTGTAAATTTGCTACTAAAAGCTTAAAATTTATAATTGCTTCCAAAGGATCGGCTTTGTCTTTGCAAATCCTTGGGACACTGCATCCAAGGGTCAAAAATTTAGGTTATATGTTTTGGAACATAAAAATATGTGACATACTCTTGGATAAGGGGTAATTTTAAAAGGTAAGAAATAGTTGTAGGTTTAGTAGGAAAAAAGCAAAAGTCCTGTGAAGACAGGAATTGCCTCTCTCTTCTCACCTCTTATACCAAGCACTACCACATATACTGGCACAGGGAATATGCTCCATATACTTAAAATATGACTGCTAATTTTCTGGTCAAAATGGTGGAGTAGGAAGACACTGTGCTTGCCTACTCTCATGACCACATTGGACATACAACTAAACTACAGAACAACCATCACTGAGAATCTCCTAAAGTCCAGCTAAACGGAAGTCCTATAACTAAGGATGTACGGAAGAGGCCACCTTGAGACTTAGGAGAGGTGGAGATGCAAAACAGGTTGTTTCCACATCCACATGTGGCGGTTAAAAATTGGGAGGGATAACTTGGTTGTGGAGGTGCCCCCTGAGAAGCAAGGGATCCCAACCACAACCCAGGGTTCCAGTGCCAGGAAGAAAAGTCCCCACAACTTCTGGCTGTGAAAACCAGCAGAGATTGTGGGTGAGTGAGCACAGGGCAGCTGGAGTCGCAGACATTCTTCTTAAGGGGCTCACGCAAAAACTTATTCACTGACAGACTCACTTACTCTGAACTCTGGTGCTGGGGCAGCAACTCAAAAGGGATCAGGGACATACAGGGAGGAATTGAATTGTCTGGCATACAGGGCTGAAGGGGCAGTTTCCTCCCAGATAGAAATGCGGATTTAATCTCTTGTTCTTTTGTTGAGCCCTCCCCAATCCAGCATGCAGATGCAGGCTGCTGCCATATCTGAGTCTCCATCAAGGAGGCTAAGACCGTTTGCTCCGCCCTGCTGATTCCCTGAGAGCCCGCCCCTTCCAACCTGCGGGCCCACCCAAACTGCTTACAGTGGTTTTTTCATACAAACAGCCTGTCTTGGCTCATGTTGCAAACTTTCCTAAAATCTCTCAGAGGTGCACAAACCCCAAACAAGCAGCACCTGGCCTTGGCATGTTCCATACCTCTTGCTGAGTAGCCCTAAGCCCAGCACTCCTGGCAGCTGGCTTCAGTTCATGGCTTGGCCCCTCCCATGCACCTCCAAGCTCTTTAAGGGTAATGGCTATCTGCAGATTGGTTCGAGGCCCATGCCAGGTGGCTCCAGGCAGGGCACAGGTGACGGCTCATCTTAGCTTGTGACGGGACTCCTCCCAGGAGGCTCTAGGGCTGGCATACCTAGTGGCCAGCTTTGGACCATGCCAGAGCACCACCCAGCAACCCCTGCAGACAACGCACCCAAAGGGCAGACTGGGCAGGCACCAAAGTCCTGCTAAAGTGACTCCTGCTCCATAGGGTCAGCCCCTACACAATAGCTCCTCCACTGTAGTCATAGCGAGTCCTCACAACCAATCGTTCTGAGAGTGAATCCCTCCCACTGATGTGCAAACAGTAACCGAGGCTCAGCTACAGCAGGAGAGCATGCGTGGTCCACACAAGGGACACACCTGGAGCACGTGGTTCAGGTGATCAGGGATACTATATCACTGGGCCCTACAGGACATCTACTACATAAGGCCACTCTACTAAGACGGGGAGACATAGCTGCCCTACCTAATACATAGAAACAAACACAGGGAGGCAACCAAAATGGAGAGACAAAGAAACATATCCCACATGGAAGAATAGAACAAAGCTCCAGAAAAAGAACTAAACAAAGTGAAGACAAGCAATCTACCAGATGCAGAGTTCAAAACACTGGTTTTAAGGATGCTCCATGATCTCAGTGAGAATGTCAACAAAGAGATAGGAAATATAAAAGTGGGAATAGAAAACATAAAGTGAACCAGTCAGAAATGAATACAGTAACTAAAACAAAGAATACATTAGAGGGAACCAACAGAAGATTAGATGAAGCAGAAGATTGAATCAGTGGTTTGGAAGATAAGATAGAGAAAACACCCAATCAAAAAAAAAATCCCCCCCCAAAATGAGGATAGTTTAAGGAACCTCTGGAACAACATCAAGTGCACCAACATTTGCATCATAGGAATACCAGGAGAAGAGAGAGAGAGCAAAGAATTGAAAACCTATTTCAAGAAATAATGATGGAAAACTTCCCTAATCTGGTGAAGGAAAGAGACATAGAAGCCCAGGAAGTGCAGAGTCCCAAACAAGATGAGCCCAAGGAGGCCCACACCAAGACATGTCATAATTAAAATGCCAAAGGTTAAAGACAAAGAGAGAATCTTAAAAGTAGCAAGAGAAAAGCAGTTAGTTACCTACAAGGGAGCTCCCACAAGTCTCTTAGCTAATTTCTCAACAGAAACTTTGCAAGCCAGTAGGGATTGGCATGAAATATTCAAAGTGATGAAAAGCAAGGACCTACAACTAAGATTACCTAGCAAAGCTATCATTTAGAATTGAAGGATAGATAAAGACCTTACCAGACAAGAAAAAGCTAAAGGAGTTTGTCACCTTCATCATCACCAAACCAATATTACAAGAAATGTTAAAGGGATTTCTTTAAGAAGAAGGGAAAAATATATATAAAAATATGAATAATAAAATGGCAATAACTACATATCTAGCAACAATTACTTTCAATGTAAATAGATTAAATGTTCCAATCAAAAGATTGGATGGCCAAATGGGTAAGAAAACAAAACTCTTATATATGCTGCCTACAGAAGACTTACTTCAGATCGAAAGACACATAGACTGTAAATAAAGGGATGGGAAAGGATATTTCATGAAAATGGAAACAAATAAACCAAAATTAGCTGGGAGAACAATACTTATACCAGAAAAAAATACACTAAAAGCTATAACAAGAGACAAAGAAGGACCTAGTAATTCCAGTTCTGGGTATTTATCCAAAGAAATCCAAATTTGAACCACTAATTTGAAAATATGCATCCATATATTCATTGCAGCATTATTTATGATAGCCAAGATATGGAAACAACCTAAGTGTTCATCAATAGGTGAATGGATAAAGAAGTAGAACATATATACAATGAAATAATATTCAGTCATAAAATAGAATGAAATCTTGCCATCTGCAACAACATGGATGGACCTGGAGGGCATTATGCTAAGTGAAATAAATCAGATAGAGAAAGACAAATACTGTATGATTTCACTTATAAGTGGAATCTAAAAAATAAACAAACAAAACAGAAACAAACTCACAGATGCAGAAAACATTTTCATGATTGCCAGATGGAAGGGGAGTTGGAGGGATGGGTGAAAAGGAGAAGGGATTAAGAAGTATAAATTGGTAGTTACAAAATAGTCTTGGGGAAGTAAAGTATAGCCTAAGAAATATAGTCAGTAGTATTGTAATAACTATGTATGGTGTCAGATGGGTACTAGATTTATTGGGATGATCACTTTGTAAGTTATATAAATGTCTAATCACTATGTTGTACACCAAAAACTAATATAATATTGTATGTCAACTGTAACTGAAAAAAAAAAATTTAAATGTGACTGCTAACATATTTCATCCTTTACTATATGGCCAGCACTGTGTTAAGTTTGTTATATGCATTATCTCCTTTAATCTTCACAACAGCTCTGTGACATATTTATTATATTATAAGATACATTTTACAGACAAGGGGCCTGACATTCTGGAGAGGCTAACATGTTTGCCCAAGATTATACAGTTAAGTTGGTGGGGCCAGGATTTGAATCCAGGTTTCAGAGTCCACTATCAGAGCCCATCTCATACCTCTTAGGCCTCCCATGTGGGGCAGGACTTTGCATTATTTTGCCTGAGATATTTCTCTGTGACCTGTGGGAGGCTGCTTTATATGAGCATGGTGCCAGCAAACGGTGTTTGGCAATTCACATCCACAAGGGCAGCCCGTGACCATAACTGATGAGAACTGGTACACAAATACCCCAGCTTCCTCACTGCTCAGGTAAGATAACTCGGAGGCAAGTGTTCTGTCTTTGTTTCCACTTGGACTTGAGCTCCAGTTGCCCCCAGTGGTATCTGACTTGATAACTCATCTTCCATTAACTTCCTTCTCTTCCTTGGCTCATTTCCTCACCCCATGTTGGTATTTTTCTGATACTACCCTCCAAATAAAACCATTCACACTTAAATCCTTGATTTGGTATTTGCTTCTTGAGAAACCAAACTTTGATGCCAGTACACAAACTCTTAACCACTGTACACAGGTTGTTGAGG